ACCCTGCTGAATTCAGTGTTGCTTACTCCCAAGTAAGTGGGTGCATGCCCACTTATTTGAGAGTAATCCCATTAAACAAACTTTTAACCAAATTCTGAATAGATATGTACAGTCGTGCCTTGGATCTCGAACGCCTTGGCTCCCGAATGATCGAAACCTGGAAGTAAGTGTTACAGTTTTCGAACGTTCTTTTGGAAGCCGAACATCCAACAGGACGTCCGATGGGCTGCAGGAGCTTCCTGCAGGCAATCATAACCCGCACTTTGGTTTTTGAACGGTTTGGAAGCCGAATGGACTTCTGGAACAGATTCTGTTTGACTTCCAAGGTACAACTGTATATTGTGTTTCATGTCACCGGGCCAGTCTTATTTATTTATTTATTTGTGACATTTACATATCATCAAGTAATGCACATCTTCTGAGATGCTTACAGTAGAAGTTTGCTAGCTGATGAAAAGTTGCTTGAAGACCTGCATGCTTTCCCAGGGCCCCAGCTTAGAATAATAATGGATATTACTGGCTATGGTGGGTAGAATTATACAGTGGTTTAATGTTTTAGGGATGCGGGTGGTGCTGTGGGTTAAACCACAGAGCCTAGGATTTGCCGATCAGAAGGTCGGCGGTTCGAATCCCTGCGACGGGGTGAGCTCCCGTTGCTCAGTCCCTGTTCCTGCCAACCTAGCAGTTCGAAAGCACGTCAAAGTGCAAGTAGATAAATAGGTACCGCTCCAACGGGAAGGTAAACAGTGTTTCCATGCGCTGCTCCGCTTTGCCACATGATTCGGAAGCTGCACGCCGGCTCCCTCGGCCGATAAAGCGAGATGAGCACCGCAACCCCCGAGTTGGCCACGGCTGGACCTAACGGTCAGGGGTCCCTTTACCTTTAATGTTTTTAAATATGTATGTTATTTAAACTGTATTTTATTTGTTTGTTTTTTGTTTTTTTGTAAGTGCTCTGATATTATTTAGAGGGAGAGTATGTGAGGGAAATTATGTATAGAAATAAATGTGTATAGCAGTAAGATAAAAATATGAATACAAATAAAGTATATCTAAAAGGCATTCTCACATAAGACTTTGCACCCTCTAGATGTTTTGGAATACACCTCTATTAATCCCCAGCCAGCAGGGCCAGTTCTCGGGGCTGATGGGAGTTGTAGTTCAAAATATATGGAGAGCACCAAGTTTGGAAGGCTGCAACAGGCCTGCCCTTTCTATTAGCACCCCAACACTAAGCTGCTCGTTGAGAGTCCCAACAACCAAAGCAAGAGAAATTGAGGCTGGTGGCTTCCTCCATAGTTATTGGAAATAACTGGTCCATTGGAGCATCTGTACCTTGATTTGAGAGAGCCACTTGGACACTTATTTCACTCATGTACATGATACTTAACAGATGTATGATCTCATTGATACACGCCAAAGGACCCAATGACTTGGTGAAGTTTCTTGTCAGAATTGATTCTACTTCATAATACATGGATGGTTTCATGGTAGCGCAAATTAATTTCATCCATGAAAATGGACATGTTACCAGTTTTGTTCTATTGTTATCATGACTTATTTCACTTCTGTGTCACACTTTTGGTACTGGGCTTCTATGTTTGTTTAGTTCGCTGGTTAACCATAAATGTGTTAACTGTTATTATTTTTATATACTGGTACTTGAAATATATTGAGAAAACAGTGTAGGGGCAAGCCTTAGCCTCTCCATGGTCATTTATGTATTTAGCTTGTTCATCACCTTGTATCAAAATCTCAAAGCAACATGTTATGTAAAAGAATCAGGACATACAGTTCAATGCCAACAAATTACATATAACAATTACATTACAAATTACCAATAAATGACTTAAAGAAATATAAAAGGGCAGCTGAAGTACTGAAAGTCATCACAACAAACATATCTCCTGGCAATATGATTCCTGTGGTCAAATTCTGTCCAGTTTATTTACCCTCATTTGCAGGGCATGTTACAAAAATGCAGTCTCATAAACATATGCATATCTTATGGAATATTTGAGGTTCTTCTGGGGATAAAAGGAGGCAGTGAAGAGCTGTCCAGAAACTTCTTTTTGAACGATGCATCCAACACCCTGCCCTTTGTCTAGCCACTATAAAGAGACCATAAAGGGATCTTTTCATACAAGCAGGAAAGCCTGACTCACTTGGATCTTATCATAGAGGCTTCTGGGTGCTCTCTGTTCAACAATGGAGCCGCCATGGGGTAGTGGTTAGAGTGTTGGACTTTCAGGAGTCAGCAAGCTTTCAGCAGGGGGCCGGTCCACTGTCCCTCAGACCTTGTGGGGGGCCGGACTATATTTTGAAAAAATGATAATGAATGAATTCCTATGCCCCACAAATAACCCAGAAATGCATTTTAAATAAAAGGACACATTCTACTCATGTGAAAACACGCTGATTCCCGGACCGTCCGCGGGCCGGATTTAGAAGGCGATTGGGCCGCATCCGGCCCCTGGGCCTTAGTTTGACCAGGGTTCAAGTTGCTGCTTCTCAGCCTAACCTCACAGGATTGCTGTGATGATAAAATGGAAAGAGGGAGAACCCTGTACACCATTTCGAGCTCCTTGAAGAAGGTGGGAGAAATCGGTGGGAAAAGTTCAGAGAAATGTGTCTAACGTGTGTAAAATGTGTTTGCGTTTGAAAAAGTTAGCCACAAATAAAGTCCAGCTGCAGCCTTTACATTGCCAGGGAAATGCCACAGCCTCCTAGGACATCGGGAAGCTGCTATAGGGCAAGGCTTCTGTTCAGGGCTCTGGAACAACTCAGAGGTGTGGAAAGCTGGGATGAATTACGGGACGGAAGATTTTGGTTGGCCAGTGTGGGAAAGACTGTCTTCTGAATGGTGCCCCAAGCCTGATACTTGGCCATCTCCTGGCCTGCCACCTTTAATGGTGCTGCCGAACCCCGATGCATGCTGTGCCACCGTCCCCCACTGCAGAAAGCAGTGGTGGTTCTGCAATTTATGAACAGTCATCTTCTAATGTGGTTATTGGCAGTGAGCGCATTGCCCACCTTTGACGGTAGGCTGTTCTTCCTGGCTGGGATTCTGTCACGCCTGCAACAAGAGCATGAGGGACCTCCGGCTGTTACTGGACTCCAGCTTCCATGTGTCCCAGCTAACTTGGCTAATGGTCAGGGCTGATGGGAGTTGTAGTCCAACAGCACCTGGGCTATCACTAACACTGGGACGTGTTTGAGCTTTTGAAGTCTGTGTTTTCATCTCAGGGTTGCTCGAAACTCGTGCACTTTTCCAATGTCTTTCTGGCTACTGATCTGTCTGCATGGGGTGATTTTTCTGGTTAATTTTCTGGTCTGTCTCTAACCTTCTGTTCCTTCTGCCTCTTCCTCCTTCTTTTTTCTCCTGATTCGCTTGCTGACTTGCACAGACCACCTCTACCAGCAGCTTGAGCAAAACCGCCGTCTAACTAACGAACTAAAGTTGGCCCTGAACGAGGATTAAGCTTTAGTAGGAACCAACCCTTTCTAACAAATGTGCTTGTGATTCAGTTGATATTGAAATATGCAAGAGTCCTGTGCAAGTAAGAAATATTGCTTCGGTGATTGTTGGAGGTGAAACTGGCTTGACTTAGGGACATTTTAAAATTTCACCGATCAGTTGTGCTCTGTTTAGAACTTTTCCTTTATTGTTTGAAGGCCAGCTATACGCCTGATGATAATTTTACAGAGAGGAAATCAAGCAGCCTTCCTCTTAGAGTGGACTTTTCACTAGTAACACAGAGAGGTGGGAGCAGAGAGAACTTGGAAACCTGAATCTTTTATTTAAAAGATCTCAAATCAAATGTACTCCCAGCTGCTTATTTGGAATCTGAACCCCATAAGTTTGAGTCCCGGTAAAAACAGCTTTTGTTTATGGGTTAAACTACCCACCTAAAGAAGAGGCCGTTATTGAGAACCTCTGGTCAGTTTAAAGGTACGCTTGCATCATAACAAGGTCACTGTTACTGTTTGGTTGTATGTGGTTCTGCAGTTTCTGTGCTTATGTCAGCATCACTGAAGCGTGTTTAGTGGCTGTCCTACAAAGTGTGCATGTAACAAAACTAAGAACTGCTGTAAAACTCTTTCTTTCTTTTTCTTTCTTTTTCTTTTGCGGGGGGAGGTTGGAAGGCTGCTGTAAAAATAAGTCAACTTGGTTTTTTTTCCCATACAAACTGGTCCCCCCCCCTCCCAGCTTTCCTTTTCTGGTAGTTAAATATCAAATGGGTAGAAATGCTTCTGAAGTCTTGTCATCAGCATTTTTAAGAACATGTTTGCATTTCCTCCTGGACATTCCCTGGAACTGGCTGCCTGACATTCTTTTGTACCTTTCCCTATTACTATTTTTTAAAGAAAAATTAGAAAGCTCATTGAATTACTCTGTTGCAGCAGTGGCAGCCGTCATGTGACATAAGGTTGATGGTTTTTTTGGTGGCACTAGGATTAAAACAAAAAACACTCCCCAAGTTGTAGCATAACTTACTCTGTTTAGTTCCCCACCCCCACCTGGTTCTTTGGTGTTACGTTTGATATGATATGAGCCAGGTGTCTTTGTGCCAAAACAAGTCCCAGTTCTTGGCTGCTGCCTCCTTTGATGATGGACCCAACAGATAACTCGCTTCTCATTTGGCAAAGGTGTTTTTGGGCTGCTGGCTGCTCTGAAGTGCAGTGGCGTAGCGTGGGTTGTCAGCACCCAGGGCAAGGCAAGTAATTTGTGCCCCCTAACCCGGTAGGGCCAGAGAGCTGCGAGTGCGAGCGCGCCCCCCCCAGATGTTGTGCCCTGGTGCGGCCGGCCCCTCCTGCACCCCCCCCACGCTATGCCACTGCTGAAGTGTGTTGCCTTTGTCACCCCCTAGTTTATGTTAATCCTAATATGTCGTGGTCATGCACCCTTCATGCTCATTTACAAATGATATTTGCCTGTGTACAATTAATATAAAGCAATGACATTTTTTTCATAACTTGACTTTTCTAATCCAAAACAGAGAAAGTGGCACATGCCAAAGAAGAGAACCTCAATATGCATCAAATGCTGGATCAAACTTTACTGGAGCTAAACAACATGTGAAAACCACCATAGCTGCGGCCGCACCACTGTCAGCTTTGTTTTGATTTATTTTTTCACCTGCTTGCCATGAAACCCTGAAATGTGTCTTTATTTTATTACTGTCCCCCCATGTTGCTATACTCACAGGTCCACTTGCTAAACCCCAGGCATGGAGTCAGGGAAAACAACATATATACATATGTATATGTATATGTATATGTATATGTATATGTATATGTATATGTATATGTATATGTATGGGGTTAGGCTCCATGTGGCTGTGAATCAGCTGTGCCATATTCCTGGCCCTAATGTTGCCTCTGTTTTGTAGAATTCAGTGCTGCAAATTGTGTGCAGCCTTTGCGGGGGGGAGGGGGCAGGTGATGGCAGAAATGTTCTCTTCCACCTGTCCAGCCAACTTAGATATTAAACAAAGATTGATGTTAGAAACTCAGGAGAGGAACAAGGAGGGGTGTGTGTGTTTGACATTCCTTGAAACTAAAGGTACTTGTGTGGTCCTTTGAATGGTATTTCTTTAATCTCAGCGGTTTGTCCAGCTCAGTAATTTGATTTCTTTGGAGATGCCTCAAGCTGCAAAGGTCTGGCCTTTGCATTTGAGAACAAAACAGGCCTGTAGGCCCCATTTTAAGCTATTTAATGCCTGAGTTGAAAACATGCAATTTACAGCTCACTACAAATGGTTAGGCAGCATTTTGGTCTGCAAAAAGTCATTCCATGGCAGCGTCTTAAGATCCGCTGCACTGGGGAACAAACCAAACATTTTTCATCAATGGATTCCAGTTGTTAACTCTGTTTTTGTCTGAAACTCAAGGGAATCAAATACATTTGGTATTTGCCACATGTTTGTTTGACACACTTTTTTTTAGCAGTTTTAAAAAAAACGTATCTGTATGTAAACATTGTATAATTGATAATAGAATAAAAGAACAAGCACTCTAGGACATTTTGTAAAAACATGCTGCCTTGTGATCTTTATTTTCCCATCTTACTGGTTTTGTGCACGCAGCTTTTCTGTTATGGTGATGGAAACGGGAGGAAGGATGTCATCGTTCCAGCACTGGCAAGACGTAGGATGGAAAATGGGGGTTCCAGCAAACTTAATCCTCAACTTCAGATCCTTTTAAAGGTTCTGTCAAAAATTGGGGGGGGGGAGGTATAATGCCTAAGTGAAAAGTAATTTGGGGGTGGTGGTGAGGAGTCTGTATGAAGCATGGATGAGTGCCATGGACCACAGTTCACATATTCACCACAATCCAGCAGCTTTTTAGTCTTGGAGAGGTGTCGCCTATTGCATGCACGAGTCAAGGCAGATCTGGAGACCTTATGGTATGCTGCTAGCCCTTAGCAGTGAATTGGGGGTAGGGGAAGTAGAGAGCCTGGCTTTCCCCTGGAGTAAAGGTGGATGCTGCTGAAACAAGTGTGTTAACAAGGGCAGGTGGAGAAACTAAAGGCTGTTAGTTGCGCAAAGGACTTGTGCTTCTCTAATAATAATAATTATTATTTATACCCTTCCCATCTGGCTGGGTTGCCCCAGCCACTCTATATGTTGCTGAACCAAAATTCTCTTATCAACCCTGGACTGTTGGCTGTGCTGCCTGGAGAATAATGGATGTTGGGAGTTGAGTAGCGTCTGGAGGGTCACTGGTTCCTCATGGATGATGGAGGATTCCTAAAGACAGGCACTCACACTGTTGAGTTGCAATTCCGTGCACACACATCACCCCAGAAAATGTCCTACCTCTGCACCCCTTGAAAATATTAGCTGTGTGTTTCCTTAGCTAGAAAAATGGTGGCATACAGCTAGAATTTCCAGGAAAGGGAGCAGGAACATTTTGTTAACTTTTAAGCCAAAGCACCTCAGCTTTCCATGGTGAATGTAGGCCTCTGCCTAAGGAGGCTGCTGCCATCCTGCTAGCAAGTGTGGGTGGTTTTTATTTTACTTTGGGCACTTCCTTCCTATCCTAAGCCTCTGCCACCCCCCGAAACCCTACAGCCCCACAACACTCTAAGGCAGCAGCTTGGCATCGAGCCCGTGGGAAATCCTTATTGGATTGGTGATCTGATCAGCAGCTCAGGAACAACATGAAGAGTTTCTACGAAGCGCATGACTTTCTATTCTATTGCATTCTTTGGGGAACATTCTGAAGAAGCCCTTTCACAGAGGAAACCTGTAAAACTTTCTTCCTGAATTCATTGCATGAAGCAAATATTGAAAGTCTTAAGTTGCCAGAAGAGTTTAAAGTCAGAAGTATATCAACATGGGGCAGTTAATGACTGGAATCTGGAATCAGTGAGGCTGTCAGCTCTTTGAGCAGTTTGGAAAGAGAGCTCTGGTTTTGGAAAAAGGCTCTTTTCTTTCATTACTGGAAATGCTGGCATCATCATACTATTTTCTTATAGTAAGGAGTACAAGAGCAGGATTAAGAGTAGTCTACCCAGATCTGCCCCCCACCCCAGTGTTTTAGATGACACCTCCTGCCTGCCTATAATTCTTAAGTGCCAACACACATTCCATTTTTGTATCTCTGAACAGCAGAACTTTAAAGTTTTCTGTAACATGTTTCTACAGATCAGCCTGTTGCCCTTCAGATGTTTTGAACTTAAGTTCCTCAGCCCTGACCACTGGTCATGCTGGCTGGACCTGATGGGATTTTGATTTAATATTTATATTCTGCTTTTCCAAAAACAAATGTTGATATCAAAGCGGCTCACAATAATCATAGCATTAAAAAACAACAAACAATGAAGGTAAAAAAGTATTGGAAAGTGATTTATAATGAACTGAAAAAAAATGTTTAAAGTTATTCCCCCCTCAAAAAAACAACAACACCTGGAGTGCTTTCTGTTGCGGATAACTCAGACTGAAATCCCCAGGTGTCAGAAAAGTTTATTTATGTACGCAACAACTGCAGCCCGTGTTTCGTTAGCCCAAAAATGGAAAGTGAGCGAGCTCCCAACTAAAGAAGATTGGCAATTTAAGTTGACAGAAGATGCACAACTTGCAGATTTGACATATAGAATAAGAGAGCATGAAGAACATGCGTTTAAATAAGATTGGAAAATGTTTATTGAATATATGGAAAATAACTGTACAGCTGAAAACGCTGGCACCATTAAGATAAATTCAACAGAGTAAATAATTTTTCATAGATGTAATAGTGGAAAACCAATTGGAATAGTTATTGTAAAATATGCAGGGGTGTAAGATATGCAAAATGAACCATGGAAAGAGAAGAAGGGAAGTCACTGGATACGTTAAAGTATGTAAAATGTTTATCTGAAATTGCAAAACAGAAAATGTAAAATAAAAATTACACACACACTCTGCAATCACTATATTATCAAACACAACAACATAAAGCAACAACAGATTCATCAAAATGATTAATACAATTCAATATAAAGTCATAGTAATTCAAAATATTACGAAGAGCTGAGTACCAACACTGTGCAGATGAGATCCTCTCTCAGGGCACCAGACGGCATATTTCCAGGCATATTTGCCATAGTTTTTAATATTGACTTCTTTTTCACCTTGTACAGGTCCACAGCAGTTGGTGTAGGCTTTGCACAAGGGGCCTTCTCGGTGGATTGTGTGCCTGTTATAGTGAGGGGGAAGTTGCCATTTGAAGTTTCGGTACCAAAAGGTACTGGACTGGGACTGGGACTTTCACAGACAACTTAGGGACACAAAGAAGGGCAAAACTCCCAGGAGACCCAAGCCAGCAGTACTAGTGGTCAGGGTTGATGAGAGTTGCAGGCCCAAAACATCCTGAACGTGCAACTTTGGCTACCCATGGCATAATGCAAATAGGGCAAAGGAAGAGTTATGCTTATTTCCATGCTGCTTGGAAACCTATCTCCCCAAAAAAGTCCGGAGCAAAGGCTGAGCCCAAGAAATCATTCCACCACAATTCAAATGGAAAGGACTATCAACACAATGCAGTCGCAGTGGCCTAGCGTGGAGGGAGACTCGTGGCCACAGGCGCATTTTGGGAGGGATCGCAACGAAGTGCCCCCACGACAGGATCCCTCATTGAGGGAAACATCACCCAGCTTTCAGGGTTGGAAGGGCAGCAGGCCTGGCATCCGGCAGGTGAGTGCACTTCCCCACCTGGCTGACTGGAAGGGTGTGCGCCTCCCCTGCTGCGTCCTGCTCATTTCTCCCTTCTTCCCTGCGCTGGAAGAGCGACAAGAGGATGCAAGAGGCAGGCGCGCTTCCAATCAGTCCAATCCGGTTGAGAAGGGCATGCGCCTCTCCATCGGCGTCTTCCTCATGGTGCCCTCCAAGCCCTGGGCACTGGGAAGGCAGGCTCCACTGCTGTGCATTCAATACTGTTGCTGGAAGTAATCTGCCAAAGTAAAATGCTCTTAAGTGAATCCAGACTTTCTCTGTGTTGGATATGAATTTGGCATTTGATAAATGACTGTTTTATTGGGAAAATAGTAATGAGAATTAAAACAACAAATGCTGAAATGAATCCCACCTGGTCTGCATTTGATTGCACATCTGAAAGTGGTTTGGTCTGGCTTGGAGCCCAGCTCCATAGTTCAAAACATCACTGGACACGGGGAAGGATGCAAGAATTTGTTACTCTATATTTCCTGGATTCTGCACTACTTTATGGTACAGGATAAATTGTTAATAGCCAAAATAATTTGCTCCTATCCTTGGTTTTCATCATTGCTCCACCTACTTGCCCACAGTGTGGGCTTATTTCAGTTGCTGATTTTTAGACTTTAAAAGTAATGGGTATGATCCACTAGGATGCCCCCCCCCTTCATTTCAATGGAGCTTGTGCAAAAAAGCATTCCAGTGAACAAAGTCCAAGATGGAGACAGTTCTGGGCATTTTGGAGCAAGCCTGAGGCAGAAAATCCAAATGGTGGTTAGTATATAATGATAAATTTAAAAATGAACACTTAGCTGCTTTTTAATAGTATTCCAAAATCTACTGAGGTAGGTTGTCTCGCTCTGCCTAATGGTAAGTGAAGCTTGTCAGGCAGCAGGAAGAAAATGTGTACATACTCCGTTCTCCCAGCGTCTAGACATTGTTGAATGACAGCCTCTATAATCCCTGACCTGCTGTCTAATGAGACTTGGAGCCTAACAGCAACTGGAGGGCCACAGGCTCCCCGTCCCTGCTTCAATTTGCTATTTAATGATGGCTTAATAATAGCTGTCACCCTCTAACATTTCTCAAATGAAAATAGAGACATCCTAGCATACCCTCCAATGAAAATAGGGATGTCCTAAGGAAAAGCAGGACATTCCAGGATCAAATCAGAAACCAATACGGCTTCTGTAAATCTGGGACTGTCCCTGGAAAATAGGGACACTTGGAGCGTCTGAGCAGAACCTGCTTTCCGGGGTTGTGAGAGTAAAAGGTGGATGAAGAATTGATTGATTGAATTCATATTCCATAGCACCAACCACACCTACATTTGGTGGGTGGGGGAAGCATTCTGTAACGTTCTAAAAAGTTTCAGTTAAAAATAGTTACAAATAAAAATCAGACATGATTTCAAAACATTAATCCAACAAGATTTTTAAACATTAAACAAACAATAAGCCTGGGTGCCGCCTTGAGCTCATTGGAGGGTAGGTGGGATAAAAATATATACGATACAATACTCTTTATTGTCATTACCCCATACAGAAGGAAATTGAAAAATCTACACCAGACATTCAAAAACCAACAAGCCTGATATCCCAGCCTGGTTAACCCCCTAAAAACTCCGATACCCCATAATTAAATACAATATACTCCCACAGAGACTATCTTACACTGCGTTTAAAACCGAAATCACATTTGGATAAAAACCTTAATAAATCTAAACGTTGGATGAATCTAAAACGTTGGATAATTCTAAACGTAATAGATGAATGGGACTGCACACTCAGGAGATATGTTGAGTATACGAAGGAAGGAAGGAAGGAAGGAAGGAAGGAAGGAAGGAAGGAAGGAAGGAAGGAAGGAAGAAAGAAAGAAAGAAAGAAAGAAAGAAAGAAAGAAAGAAAGAAAGAAAGAAAGAAAGAAAGAAAGAAAGAAAGAAAGAAAGAAACTGATGAATACAGAAGGGAGGGCTGGCTGGCTGGCACAGTGAGAATCCAATGGGACTCCGCAGGGATAAAACAAGCCCTCAAGACTCCGCTCGATGCGCTCGATGGGCTCTTGCGCTGTCTGATTGCGGGCGGCTCCGCTCGATGCCCTCGGGGGCTCCTGCTCCTGCCTGGCGCGTCTCCTAGCAACGCGGGCCTAGGCCGGAGCCGGGCGAGCGAGGCAGCTCTGGGCCGGCCATGCTGCGAGGGCTGGCGGCAGCGCGGAGGCTCCTGCTGCCCGTGAGGCGGCCGGGGAGCGGCGGGCCGGGGGCGCCATGGAGCCCGCCCTTTCGCGGGAGCCGCTGGCGGCTGGGCCCCGTGGGGCTGGGGCTGGCCCTGACGGCGGCGGCGGCGGCGGCTGTGGGGAGCGAGGAAGAGCGGGAGGGCCCTCGGCCGGAGAAGGGCTTCGCCCGGGCCGTGGCCAGCAGCAGGGACCTGCTCCAGCGGCTGAAGGTGGGAAGGCGGGGAGGGGCCGAGGGCCAAAGTTTATTCCGCCGCCGCCGCCGCCCCATTTTGTTTTGTTCTTAAGGACCGAACGGCAAAGTTCTGAATTCACATAGCATAAACTATGACAAAAATTTAGTCCCCTGTCTGCATGGGATGCCTTAAGTGTGCAGTACAAGTATAGAGAATTATAGAGTTGGAAGGGAACCCAAGGGTCATCTAGTCCAGCCCCCTGCAATGCAGGAATCACAGCAAAAGAAACTGGCAGATGGGCATCCAACCTCTGTTTAAAAACCTCCAATAAAAGAGAATCCACTACAGTCTGAGGTAGTCCATTCCACTGTTGAACAGCTCTTACAGTTATAAAGTTCTTCCTATGGTTCAGTCGGAATCTCCTTTCTTGGCATTTGAATCCATTGGTTCAGGTTCCCGCTCTCTGGAGCAGCAGAAAACAATCTTGCTCCATCTTCCAGCCTTTGAGATATTAGAAAATAGCTATCAGATCCCAACTCCCTCAACCTTTCCTCATAAGGCTTGGTTTCCGCAGCTTTTACCATCTTGGTCACCCTCCTCTGCACAGGTTCCAGCTTGTCAATATCCTTAAATTGTGACCAAGACAGAATAGAGCATCCTCATGAGAATCTCCTGCTCACTTTGCATCCTCCAAACTCTGATTAGTCTATTTCTAGACCACCCTTAATCTGAAGATTGCAGGGTCGTTTACAGCATACTATAAACCCCTTGCAATAAAAATAAATAAATCTTTAAAATCATATTGACGTTAAACTAAACTAGCACCAGAGAAAAGTCCTCAAGACTCTGAAGCATATGCAGCACTGGTGCCTCCAAAGGCCTGAGTAAATATATCTGATTACTAACACAAGAGAATAAGATTGTGATCCAGTTAGCAAAATTTTGGCTTGGGGAAGGAGGAAGAGGGTGGTTTCTTCTCCACCTCCATTGATGTGGGCAAGGGTATGCGGCTGTAATGGAATTAAATGAGATTTAAATGGTTGTGGGGGGTTTTAAGACACACTCTTAGGATTGGCGCGTCAGAAGGATTAGGAGAATTCAGAAAGTCAAAGTTGTATTTTATTCCAATAGGATGAAGTGGGAGCACCTGGAATAGTAGCTGGAGTTTCTGTAGATGGCAAAGAAATTTGGTTAGAAGGTAAGTGAGGATTAGTGTGTTTTTATTGTTTGTCAAAGACTTGTATGCAGGGGCAGGGGTTGTCTTTATATTAAAAAAAAATTACATTTAAGATTATCATTCATTAATATAATTTCTATAGCTCTTTTGAGGATGCAGGCGGGAGGAAAGCTATCCAAATACAAAATTTGAGGAGAAACATAAGTTTGTGATTTAAGTCAGTAAGTCACAAATACAGGTTTGTGATGTAAGTCAGTAATGTTCACAGGATGGCTGGCTGGCTAGCCAGCTTCCTCATTCCTCTGGAGCAACAGTATTCTCCTGCCATGCCTGTCAGTTATAATTCCGCTATCATTTGGCTGCTATCAGGAATGGGGTGGGATCGTGTGTATGCTCGTTGGTGGGTAATATCCTTTTAAGATGCCACACTGGTGAATTTTCCCCTCCCCCCCTTTGTTCTTGGGCCTTGTTTCCCTGTTTTGGGTTCCCATCAATTCCCTAAGGCCTGGGGGTGGGGGGTGTTTTTAAAATACCACTTTAACCAATGGTATATTCATAATACAAAGACTATGAAAATAACATTTAAAATCCTGTGTTAGCGGTACACATAGTGGGAGCAGGATAGAAACAAGGATTTTCCCAGGTGTGGCTTTTCCTGTCCTAATGCTGTTGTGATGGAATAAGATCTGGCAAGGTGACGGCGCCTGCTTGGTTCTCTAGTCCCGTTGTTTCCAAAACGTTCTCTTCTGTCCACCCTTTCTGTCCTGCTTCCTTTAGCAACTTGGGCTCTTGCCTTCCCAGCTGGTTGGCACTACTTCTTCCCTTTCTCAACAGCATGCAGCCTCCTCCTTTAGGCCCTCTCTGAGCTTCTGAGACCAGTTCCTCCTTTGCTGAACTAGCTGCTTACTCTGCTCTTTGTTTCATCAGGCCTCGGCCTGCACCATCAACCCTTCCCTCATGCGTTCCTGTATTTTGATTCACTGCTTTATCCACTTTCTTCTTACCCCATTAGCTGTGGGTTTACCTGCTTCTCACTTGACTTGCTGCCCAAGGCAAGCTTTGTAAACACTTGTGTGGCATCACAGCAACTTATCCAGCACCAGAAGCTTCTGCACAGCTTTGCACATTTAGCTATGAAAACCTTTTCAGAGGAGCTCACTCTGATGCGAAAAAGGAAGTGCTGTATGCCCTCCTATTTCAGCTTGGTTACCCACACATTCATGTCTGCTATGCTTAAATAATGAATATGATGCAAAATGTACCCTGTGGTGTGTTTCCAAGTTGTCTGTACTGAAATAAATGGGCGTGACTTTATGTCATTGCAGTTTCACCCGGTCACCTATTTTTCTCTGTGGCAGGAAAGGTTGTACTCCTTCTTAATAACTACTTCTCAAAACTAAGTTTAACTTATTCTTTCCATTTATGTGTTAATCCTGTTTTAAAAAATGCCTATGGTGCACATTAACTAAACTTCAGAATGAATTCCTGCAATAATTCCCAATATCCCCTGTCACGGACTACTTGAGATTCATGAGAATCTTGATGTACTATTTAGTTTTTAAAAGATAGTTAAATAGTTTTTATAGTTAAATGTAAAGATAGTTTTAAAAAACAACAACAGTTGAACACAAGCAGCCAGGATTAGATTATTGTTTTAGCAATTGTAATGTGCTGTGCTAGATGCTAAAATATTTTTAAAGTATTTTAAAGAATGATATCGCTTATCTTGCCACCATCCGCTGTTTTTTTCTTTTAAAAAGTAATATGATTAATATTTTTCAAAAAATATTATTTCATATTTCTAAAAGCTACCTGCAAAATGTCATCTTGGGATCTCAGTGGGATCACATTTTAAAAAATATTTTGTACCATTGAAAATCACTTTTCAAAATTTTAAATTTGTAACTTAACTTTAGCATTTAGAGTAAGTCCATCATGTGACATATTAAAGCCCATGAAGTTCTGAAGAGATTGGTATTTTTAGTTTTGAAATATCTCAATTCTGGGCTGAGCTTTTAAGGTTTTTGTATAGTCTTGGCAAGGCCAAATTTATCAATTTTTTGAAATTTCAAACCCTCATAACCCAAAAACAGGATGAGATAAAAAATTAAAAACTGAGATATTGGACCTTCTCTTATATTACTTATAAGAAACTGAAACTGAAAGCAATATAAAATGGTAAAGTAAAAGTCATTGGATCACTTGACATGGAATGCCCCCTCATAATCTGAGACCTTCATACCACTTGCATAAATATTTGATGTGAGAAAGGAGTCGTAAAGGTTTTTTGTTCTTCCCAAAGAGTTGTAAAGTTTATGAGAGTTATAACAAATGTGCCCAAATAAGACTTGCTCAGAAAGTTCTAATAAACTGACTCAAAACATTCCCTCTTGAAGATGTTTGCTTGCCACAGGGAGATGCCATCCCTTAATCCGGCTTGGGCAGGTCTAACTTGTACTGTGACCTGTATAATCACTTCTCAGGACAGCAAACATTTATTTGAACTCTGATACGTTGTCTCTTTTCAGCTTTTCTCTTCCTCTCTCCAACTCCAATTAGGATCTTAAATGGCATCTATGTTTTTGTTAAAAAACATTTGTTTCCTTGGGTTTCTTTCTAGCCCTCTCATGCATCCTCAGAGCTCAATGTGGTAGCCATTCTCCCTTCCTAGACTTGATAACTTTGTACTGATACCGGAACAAACATGTTTGCCACACACAATATCTTTTATCATGGATGTTAATGAAGTGCTGCTATTCATTTGATGTGCAAACAGACCAAAGCTAGATATTATGCCTAACTCACGTCTGTCTTGAGAAGAGGAAATTATCAAAAAGTCTTTGAGAAGTCTTAGGCTGCATACACACCATCCAGTAAAGCATATTGCTTCCCTGAAAGAATGCTGGGAACTGTAGCTTATCCCTCACAGAGCTACAATTCCCAGCACCCTTAACAGTTTCCAGGATTCTCTGGGGGAAGTAATATGCTTTAAAGATATGGTGTGTATGCAGCCTCAAACAACTTGATCTTTTGGTTTTCAAAGAGCCTGAGGCATTCCAGTGCATAAAACACCACTTGACAGTAATCTGCTTATTCCCTTAAAGGAATGGGTTATGCTGACGTGGAGAACCGTGTGCTCTGCAAGCCAGAGACCGTCCTGCGAATTGCAAGCATTAGCAAACCTCTGACTATGGTTGCTGTTGCAAAGTTGTGGGAGGAAGGAAAGCTGGATTTAGATGCTCCAGTGCAGAAGTATGTTCCAGAATTTCCTGAAAAAGAATATGAAGGTGAAAAG